CACCCCTTCCGCTGTCAATCCATCCCAACCCAGGTGCTCACCAACCTTTCAATTGCTCCTCATACTCTCTTGTCAAAATAATATGGATCATGCCAATTCATGACATGTCCACTCACCACCATCTCACGAAAAATGTAAAGAGAAAAGTTGTCCATTATAAAAAATACCTCCTGGTCATGAAAACCCATTTAACACACTTAACCTTTATCAAAACAGACTTCTATTCCTCAACCCACATTTGAGACAGCTAATATTTTAATAATGTCATTGATTGTCAATATAACTGTGAACTTAACATGTGCCCAGCTTCACATGTGATAATTGTAAGCAAGCAGCCATGTATTACAAATGCTATAGGAAGAACGCTTAGGGAAAAAGAGCTGTTGAAACTACCACAACGGATTTTATCCATCTCTCACAGGCATAGGCAATAGTTTCTTTTTAGAGACCTGGCCTGTTCAATAATTTGACAGTATTACATACCTTATCTACCAATAACTTTATAATTTCCACACTGCAGGACAAGACTCTCATTTTGTTGAAAATAGGGACTGTTTAAACTTAGTATACAGCACAAAGGTTTCTTACATGTAGAAGACATGTTCTGCGCTGGTTTACCCCAGAGCAAGTAATTTCTGGTGTGATCCCAGATCCATGATATATCTGCCATTTTGGAAAAGCTAAGTTTCTCTATGATTTAAAAATTTCCAAGCCAATAAATCTGCTTCTCCCATCAAAGATGCTACCAGAGCAGGTAACAACTGACATTTTCTGTTCTTATTTTTGATATTCCTCATCCATTGGAAAGGCTATTTTAGGACAAATGCTATTTTAGTAAACATAAATAAAGCATAAGATCAAGCCATAACGTATAAATAGGATTATAAAATGCTATAAATATGCTGCAACAGTGGAGAGAGAAAAGTAGATTTACCATTCCAATTTCAACAAATACTGCTTGACTTGCTGAGTGTTTAGAACATTTTTATTTTGCTTCTGGCTGATTTCTTTCTTTCATATTTATGCTAATCTAGAAAATATCCATTTTTCTTCTACTGAGACACATAATAAGGCAATAATGCTTCTCATTAAAGATCATTGACACACTGAATTTCTTCCTTTTCTCACTCTATACTTTGTAATGGTTTCTCCTTTTCAGTTAATCCTTATCCTATTATATAAGCATGGACTGTGTTTTGTTGCAGTGGAAAGCTACAAGACCATAATGAGATGACATGTTGAATAAGTTTGAAGACATAAACGCTTTACATTATAATGTGGAAAGCCTGTGACTGTTCCAATTTCACATTGCTTATTTGTTGGCAATCACTATTCTGCCATCACTTAATCTTGAGGTTATTATTTTGGTTGGTTTTTGCAGCAATGCACTGAGCAAAGGATATTGAATGTGTTTTAATGTTGATTACTGTGGGAATGCAACCTCCTAACCTAACCCTTATCCATCCAACTCCTTGTTAGGCAATCTATTTGCTGCCTGGTCCTTTGATGTGTAAATACTTTTCCTTCTTTATTTAAGTTTCATCAACCCTGCATTTGTTGAAAGTCCTGACTATCTAGATTTTAAATTTCTTCCCTACTTTCAAATTCACCTATAGGTGAATATATTCACCCTTCCCAATACCTGTGACATTTTCCTGCTCTACAACTTTCCAAAATCTCTGCAAACCTCAAACTTTGACCTTTTATGCATCCAATCGGGCTGGAATTTTTTTGTTGTTGGGGTAGCAGTGCAAACAGGTGGGGGGCGTGGTGTTTTGGTGACAGGCTGTAACAAGAGGAGTGCCACAGGGATCAGTGTTGGAGCCTCAAATCTTTACAATCCATATCAGTGGCATGGATGCATGTGCCTAATGTGTGGTAGCAAAATTTGCTTATGATGTTAAGGTAAGTATAAGAGTAAGTTGTCAAGAGAAGGTACTGAGTCTTGAAGAGGATGTAAGTCAGTTAAATGAGTAGACAAAAAAAATTGAGATAGAGTATAATGTGGTAAGATGGTAATTTGTCCAACTTGGCAGGAAGAATAGAACACAGTATATTACCCAGTATATTAGAACGCTGAGGTACAGAGAGGCCTGGGTTTACTGATACATGAACTGCAAAACTTTAATATGCAGGTGCAAAAGGTGATTAGGAAGACAAATGGAATGTCAGTGATTTTTGCAATTGGAATGAAATATAAAACCCTGTAAAACTTCAGCTTTACAAGGCCTATCACAGGTGAGACCACATCTGGAGTACTGTGTCCATTTTTGATCTCTTTATTTGAAAGAGTATATGTTTGCATTAGAAACAGTTTAGAAAAGGTTCATTCAGCTCATTCCTGGGATGGGGGATTGTAGTATGAAGAAAGGTTGTACAGGCTGCTTGTACTCACTGCAGTTTAGAAGAATGAATCTTATGGAACTATATAAGGGATGTTGGGAATGTTAGGGTGGATACTTGGAAGATGAGTACTCTTGTGGGGAGCCTAGAACTCGGGGATACAATTTAAGAATGGGCATCCTCTTATGGGGGTCTAAACTTGAAAAATTAATAAGAGATCTTCAGGGAAACAGGACAATGATTGTTTATTCGTTATGCTCATTTGGATAGGACATTTTCAGACAGAAGGATAAACTCAGTCTGTTGAGGTACATAACATCTTCAATCTTCATACAGGTTACAGCATGCATATTACAATTTCTACATTTCAATATCCATGTGTCCCATATTATCTTTCTTTCCCATAGTCCTTATAAGCATTATCTGTTCCTCACCAATCGTAGCTTCTAGCTACTAACCTTGACAGTCTGGATGTCTCGTTTTCTAGTTCCCACGTGCTGAGATAGTTTTGCTTATTAGTAAGTATATGGCTAAATTTTTAACACTTAACTATGTAACCTTTCACCTCCCTTTTAAGATGGAGATGAGGAGAATTTTTTTTTCTCTAGGAGTTCTTAATCTGTGAAATTCTCTTCCTCAGAAAGGAGGAGGATGTATAATTTAGCTTATTCAAGGCAGTGTTCAATAGATTTTTTAATAGACCAGGGAGGACTCAGGACAGCAGACAGGAAAATGGATTGAGACCACAACAAGATCATCCATGGCTTGATTGAATGGTGGAACAGGTCTGACAGACAAACCTGCCTAATTCTGCTCCAGAGTCCTATACTCCTGTATTCCCTTGTTTCCAGCAGGTGGACATGGGAAGAGGGGAGAGAAGGGGTTTACTTAAAGAAGGGTGCAGGTGAAATCTAACAGGTGAACTTCCCAATGCATACTCTCCTCCCAGTCTCCTGAAATTTCATGGAGAGTCATCAGGCAGCCAGTCACTCTTGGGCCTATTGAGACCCTTCAGAATGTTTTGCTTGACTCCTGACCAAGTGATCATGCCTTGTGCAGGACTAGTGCAGCAGAAATGTCAATTCTGCCAAGAGAAAACATCAAAAATCACCGTCTCCTCTCTTTCTGTCTCCTATGATGAGGAAACACAGAGTCGACAGTAACAGCTAGCTGGCTTCCTTACACCTTTCTCTGCAACTCCCAATTGAATGGGCAATAAAAAGCCTTCACAGACATTAAAAGGATGAATTTTTAAACAGTGACTGAAACTGAGTTTTGCAAAACAAAACCTGGTGTCAATATCAAAGAATTGACAGAAAGAGAAAGAAAACAACACATCAATCCTGGGAGATCCAGGATGGTGCTATCAAACTGTGTTTTTGTTCTTTACTGCGTGCTCCCTTTCCCCTACCTCTGAATCATTTATCTTCTGCATTTCTACATATACCTTGTGCCTTCCACACGTTGTAATCCTGCTAACTAAGTCAAGCTGTTGTCTGGTGGGAGGAAATAACACTGTCCAGATGCTGAATTTATCTTTTACCTTTCATTAAGCATATTGGCAGGAGCCAAAGAACAGACCAACATCTCTCCTCTGACACTCAGAACAATGGTTAACAGTGTACTTATTTTTATCAAGGTATGATAAATCTCAGTGTTCTTATGATCCACAATGACTCAAGAAGTTACATTCAAATTTGTAAACACCATTGATACAATATCTATTATTGGCCAGAGTCCATCCATCCTTGTTCTTTGCTGCTTGCCTAGCCTGTTAGTCAGGGTAAACCCACTCCCTGAATGCTCAGGCATCCTTGTGCTGTCTCAGCCTTGTTGGCTAGGGTCCATTTACTCCCTGTTCTTTGCTGCTTGCCTAGCCTCTTGGTCTGGGTTCACAAACTCCCCGTGTATTCCAGACATTCTTATGTTACATTAACCCTTTCATTACTATCAAAAAATTAAAAACACGCAAATACCTACACAAATCTGAGGAGAAACAGAAAGAATGAAAATTTTGCAGGGTGTCAACTTCAAGTGGCCAAGTAATAGTTAAATTAATGAGGACTGGCTATGTTGCAGAAGGTCTAACTGACATTCTACTTCCAAAGTTCTTCTGCATACACAGAGGCTGTTGGAATGGTCTATCTTCCTGGAGCTGGTGGAGTAAACTCCAAGAAAAATGTCTTCGGGAACTCTGCATGAGAGGTAAAGATGACTTTTTGTGGGTTTTCAACTCATATTTTGGTGCCTTTCAGACAAATCTTAAATTCTGCTTCACACTGTTCAAAAATGCAATAGTTTTATTCACTCACTGACTGAGCTAAGTGATCACACTCCCTGAAGGTTCCCCTGTTCCATGTAGATGCAATATTTTTTGTGTTTGTACTGAGTTTCTTTTCCTTAGCACAGTGTCCTTCATTTAAAAGTTGAAGATATATTTCTGTAGGTCCAGATAATCCTTTTATAAAAGTTATAATTGAATCGTAAAATGTTGACCTCAGTATGAGCCTCAGTAAGACTTTTGATAAAGTCTCACATGGTAACGTGATTAAGGAGGTAAAAGCCCACGAGATTCAGGGCAATTTGTCAAGTAGATCCAAGTTTAGCTTATTGGCAGAAATAAGAGAGTGATGGTCAAAGGATGTTTTTGTGCTTCGATGCCTGTGTCCCTTGGTGTACCACAGGGTTCCGTTCTGGATCCTTTCCTGTTTGTTGTTAACATTAGTGACCTAGACATGAATGTAGAAGTTGTCATCAGTAAGTTTGCAGATGACATGCTAATTGGTGGTATGGTAAATAGCAAAGAGGAAAGTCTTAGACTATAGGAAGATACAGATCGGCTAAATAGTGGTAAATGATCTTAAATCCAATAAGTGTGAGGTGATGAATTTAAGGAGAATAACAAGGCAAGAGAGTACACATTGAATGATAGCACCTAATTGGTACAGAAGATCAGAGTGACCATGTTCACAGAGTGATTCATCGATCATTAAAGGGAGCAGGACAGATATATAAGATGGTATGTGGGATATTTGTCTATATTAGTCAAGTCATTGAATTCAAGAACATGGAAGTTATGATGGAGCTGTATAAAACATAAGTTTGGCCACAATGGAATACTGTGAGCAGTTCTGGTTACTACACTACAGGAAGGATTTGATTACATTAGAGAAAGTGCAGAAGAGATTCATCAGGATGTTAGTTGGGCTATAGTGATCCAGCTATGAAGAAAGGCTAGATAGGTTGTGGCTATTTTCCTTGGAGTAGAGAGGCTGAGAGAGGATTTCATTGAGGTGGACAAAGTTCTGATGGGCATAGACAGGATAGATTGAGTTAACCTCTTCCTTTTAGTAAAGTGGTCAATAAGCAGCAGGAACTGTCTCAAGGTAAGGAGCAGGAAGTTGAGACGAGAACTGAGAAAAAAAAATTCCGTCAGAGTGTTGAGAATATCTGGAACTCACTAGCTGAATGGCTGGTCGAGACAGGAACCAACAAGACATTTCAGAATGATTTAGATGAACATCATGTACCAACCCACCACGTACATGGCACATACTCATGCGACTCAGCCAATATTGTCTCTCCCATATGCTGTAAGGATGCCCCGAGACATGGTATATTGGTGAGATCATGCAGACACTACAACAACGGATGAATGGGCACCGCGCAATAATCAATAGACAGGAATATTCCCTCCCTCTTCAGAGGCAAGGGCATTCAGCCTCCAATCTTTGGGTAAGCATCCTCCAAGGAAGCCTTTGAGATATTCAACAATGCTGAATCACCGAGCAGAGACTGATAGCCAAGTTCTGCACCCGTGAAAATGGCCTTATCCGTGATCTTGGGTTCATGTCGTGCTACATGTGACCCACCGCACTGTTCTATATCTGTAAACCCTTCCTCACTGTCCTGTTTTGATAGCATCACCTTGCTAAATTAGCTTGTACAGTTTTGGATTACTTATTACTTTGGTTAGACCCTCGGCATATGAACCTTATGTCCATCATGTTATTCCAGTCATTTAGTTTGTCTCCAGCATCATCTTATTTTTATTTTTTTGTAATTATCCCTTTGTCTCATTTAATTGGATTATACGTCATCCCTTTACTTGTTATTCAGCTGTTGACACTTTACTCACACTGTCTGATACTTTTGATCACCTGCAGAGACTTATTATTCAACACTCCACTCAAACCATTTGTACAGTCTTTTGATCTCTCTGCCCTTGATCTCTCCGCCTATAAATTCTGTGTCCGTGCTACCCTCTCACTTCACCTGATGAAGGGGCTGTGCTCCAAAAGCTTGTGATTTCAAATAAACCTGTTGGATTATAACCTTGTGTCATGTGACTTCTGACTTCATTAAAAATGAATTAGCCATGTTTCTTTAGTCAACAACAAGTAGCAGACTTATTTCCAAAATAAACTGACTCAAATAGAGATAAAGAATTTATTGACAGTTTGGATTATGCAAATGTATACCCTTTCAAAACACACACACACAGTCACACACACACACACTCACACACACGCACCTCCAAAACAAAAATGAAAATTCTGCAGAGTGTTAACTTGATAATACATTGACCATGTAATAATTAATCTCATGCTAAAAGGTGAAGTTGTGGTTGTCTCAAATGTTGTCTTGCTTTCGAAGCTCTACTGTAGCCACAAGTTGCTGACACTGGATTGTCTTCCTGGAACAATTGTAATTGGCTAAATTCCACTTGTTTCAGATTGTGGAGTAGATTCCAAGAAAATCTTCAGGAACTCTTCCAGAGCATTAAAGATAACCTCTGCTGTGTGTTCAGCTCATTCTCCTTTGCTGAGAGAAGTTGAAAAGAATGAGAGTGAGGGCAAGCAATGGGCTGTTGCTTTCTGGTAGGTCTTAAATTCTCTGTCACTGTAATTCATAACTGCTCTTTGTATAGTTGCAATTTTGCTGCTGTTGTACGCAGTGCATTTTTGTTGGCAAAGTGTGCTTTCTTTTAAAGTTCAACATGTATTTGGATGGACCTACAATTTTTAGAAGGTGATATTTAGATCACATCTCTTCACAACACAACCTCGTCTAATTGGTTTCTAGAATTTCAGAATTCACTGAATGCTTTTTAGCTAATTTAGCTCCAATTTCCAAAACAATTTCTTCTATTCTGATTCTATTAAACAATCATTCATAACCTCTTAAGGCACATGACCCCAAACTTTTAAGTGTAATAGGCTTTCATGTGCTTCAGTTACATTTATCACATTTTCTATGGTTAAACCTTAATTCCTAAATCTAAAAATTATATACTAAAACACATGGAACTGTGACCTATACATTCACAATACAGAGCTGTAGGGTTTTCAGACCTTTTGAGATTGACAGTACATATAATTTTTGCGCTTTTCAGTTGGATCACAGCCATTATATAAATAGCTCACATTGGAGGTAAGTGTGGGAAAGCAAAAGTCATGAAGGAAGTAAGTGGAGAATGATTATAGGTGAGACAGAAAGCAGAAAGGTTAAAGCATGTACAAAAGAAGCTGAAATAGTCCAGAAGAATCATTTAAAAAGATCTATTACAGCCCAGACTTCTGGTCTCCTAATGTATATTTTAAAAATATATATATTTATATATTTAAAACTTCTGTATTTTGGCTTATTTGTACATATACTGGAAGATCACACATAGCATTGCTCATTGTACTTTGGAGAATGCAAACTTCTGATATTTTGCTCTAATTTTGCAAAGTTCTGCTGCAACAATGTGAAATAAGAGTTAGTGTTGCAGGTGAGACAAAACCGCCTTTTATTATCAGATTATTGAAATGAGGTCCTATAATACTTTTCACAGCTTTAACAAGAGATCTGCCAGTGTCATCCAGAGTATCTGTATAAAATGCACAATTTTGGCTCAGCAGTACTGGCCTAATTTGATTATTTGTTAAAGCAAAGTTGAGGTTGAAGTTTAGCACTTTCTTTAGAGTGTGTATTTATATCTGTTTTGATTATTTTTGCACACTTTTAACATATGTGTCGATGGCTTTTTGTACAAGCCTTCAAGCTTATTGAATAACTCTTCTGTAATATTAACAATTATTGCTGCAAAATGAATTGTAGCTTTCAACTTTAAACAGTGAGAGTCCCGTTGGCAGTTCCCATGTTACAATATAAATTAAATGAAAAGAACAAATTTTGAGCGAACAATGCCATCAGATTCAACAATATGTGCAGCAGCAACATGTTCACTGCTGTTAATTTGTTAGGTGATGTCTATACAAACCATGCTATATGGAAATGTCAGTGGCAACTAGTGATCACTGCTGATAGCTGATGGACAAAGTGGGCTGAAAAACTGATTTCTATAACTGTAAAGATCACCATGTCATTGAAGCAAATTGAAGAACTGTGGAAGCTGAAGATCTTAAACAAAAACAGAAATTTCTGGAGAAACTCAGCAAGTCTGGCTATCTGTGAAGAGAAATCAGACTCAATATTTCAAGGCCAGTGACTCTTCTTTAGACTTGAGTTTCTCCAGCAATTTCTGTTTTTGTTTCACCGTTTTATTAATCTTGTGGAAAAAAAATGGAATGTTCCAAACCATCGCATTTGGCAACCAACAGGCAAGTAAGTCTTCAGTTCAATGTTTACTAGAGGAAGCAATTTTCCAAAAGGCAAAAAGATATAACTGGAGGTTGCATGAATCCAGAAAGCTTCCAAAGAGAACATAAAAACATAAGAAACTACCAAGTTAGCTCTGCCATTCTATGATCTGGTAATCTTCAACTGCATTTTCTTATCTTTTCACCATAACCTATGATTTCCTTTCTGGTCCTTTCCTTCAGGATCCCATACTAAAACCAGTAAAACCAGTGTAATATACAAAATACCATGCAAGGACAGTGAGAAGCACTACATAAGTCAAACTGGAAGAAAACTGACAATACGGATATATGAACACCAATTAGCCACCAAGAGACACGACCAATTCTCACTTGTCTCGCTACACACGAACAAAGAGGGACACAAATTTGACTGGGACAATACATCCATAATCGCACAAGCCAAACAATGACACAGCATGGAATTCCTGTATACCTGGTATTCCAACCAGAATTCCATCAACAAACATATTGTGTACAAACCACTGAGAAACAGAACCAGAAGTGGTAGCAAACACACAACAAACTGAGACATATAAATAACAAATGGGACAGAACACCAACACTTCACCGGAGGTGCACTGATGATGTTACCTAGCAGGGTGATGAAACATTTGCAACTGAACCTACTGGCTCAGCAAGCATGTCTACAACCTCATCCACAACACAAGCAACATGTCTTATATAGTTTTGGCAAGAGTTCTCTATTATTATATTCTATTCCCTTTGAAATAAGGACTTCCCTATTACCTACTGAACTTAAATGGTACTTTATTGTGATTTATGCACAAGGACTCCCAAATCGCTCTGTGTTGCCGCTTTCAGAAGTCTTTCTCCATTTAAATAATATTCAGCTCCTCTGTTCTTCACATTCTCCCATGTTATATTCTACTTGTCAAAGTTTTGCCCACTCACTTAACCTGTCTGTATCCTTCTGTAGCTTTTTTATGTTCTTCACACTTATTGCCTTCCCACCTATTTTTGTGTCATTTGCAAACATGGCTGTAGCACATTTACTCCCCGCATCCAAGACATTTATATTTACTATAAATAATTGTGGCCTTAGCATTAATCCACATAGTACTCTACTATTTAGAGGTTGCCCTCGTGAAAATGGAACCCTTATCCCAACTCTCTTTCATTTA